TGCCACAGCTGAAATTTCCATCTCACCTTTGAAAAATCTCTGGGAACATACCCCTTCTTTTCTGTGACACTGCCATCACTCTGGGGCAGATTCTCATCACCTTACACCTGGATTGTAGCAATAGCTGCTTCTGGGTCTCTGTCTGCCTCGTCTCTCCCTACTCTAGTCCATCCTCCATTCAGCCACTGAAGAGATTCCTGAACTGCAGGTCCAGTCATATCACAAACTCCAATGGCTCCCTATCACCTCCAGGATCAAATACAAAACCCCTTGTTGGGCATTCAGAGCCATTCAGAACCTTCTTACACCTTCCCCACTACACACTCTTTGATCCAATGACACTGATCTCCAGGCTGTTCTACAAACAAGACATTTCATTTTTTCAGCTCCAGACATTTTCTCTGGCTGTTCCTCATACCTGGAATGCCCTCCTTCCTCATCTCTACCCATTGCCTTCCCTGGCTTTCTCTAAGTCCCAACTGAAATCCTACTTGCCGCAGGAAACCTTCCCCAGCACCTCTTAATTCCAGTGCCTTTCCTTGGTTAATTATTTCCTATTAATTCTGAATATGATAACTTGCTTGTATATATTTGTTTACTTGTTGGCTCCCTCATTAGACCATAAGCTCCTTGAGGGAAGGGATTATCTTTCGCCTCTTTTTGTATCCCCAATAAAACTCTCTGGGCCTCAGTTTCCTCATCAGCAAAATGAGGGGCTAGGACTAGATCACTTCCAAAATCCCTTCTGGCTCTAAAGTTATGATTCTGAGATCCAGGAGCCCCACATACCATGGGTGATGAAGGCATTGCAGAGTATGGGATTGGGAGTTGGCACAACAGTTAACCTCCCTTGGTCTCAAACTTACTGCCAGTAATGTGGGAGAGAAAAAAAAAACCAACTCCTACTTTTCCTATCTCACAAGGTTGTTGTGAGGGTGAGGGAATGCTTAGAAAAGCTATCTAAGGATAACTTATGATTGTTCACTGTCAGGCTATTTCAGCTGGGAGTCAAAAGGTTCGACAGCCATGCTCGGTACCCACCCTTGCCCTGGCAAGATGCTCCCTCTTTCCTAGATACACTCTTTTCTTTTGATACCATACCCAGCTGGTTCATCATAGTGGGGTTTTTTGTGTGTTTTGTGGGGAGGGCGTGGAGAGGTTGGGGTTGGCAGGAGCCAACCCACTCCTCTCCTTTAAGAAACTCAAAATTAATCCTTCCCAGAAGCCAGAGGTCCCTTCTCCACTTGATGGTTGGGAAGATTGTATTTGGCAGAGAAAGGAATCCATTAAAAGAGTTGGATATTTCCCTCCTGGAATGGAACAGGTAAATACCTACACAGCCATTTAACTCTATGGAGTGGTCTGAAAGGAAAATAGACTGCCCATTCTGGGAGTCAAAGAGTGCATCCAGCCTTGGGAGGCAGGAATCATGGCCAGAAGCCTTAGTACTTTCTGAGAAGTTATTGGAAAGATGATCAGATGTGGAGTCAAATTTGGGACAAACCCCTTATCTTCTGGGCCTCAGTTTACTCATCTGTAGAATGGCTGGCTCTAAAGTTCCATCCAGTTCTAAATCTGATGATTATAAGCAATTCCGTGCTCTGAGGGTACAGCCTAGGATTTAGAGCTGAAAGGAACCCCAGAAAGCATGCATCCACCAACCAGGATCAGCGCCACATGACTCTTCAACCCCAGAACCAGTATCTTTATCCTTAGGCCCTTTGGAAGGAATGGCCTTAGAGGGATGCGTCAGTAGGTAAGGGCTGGCACTCTTAACTCAGCCTCTTAAAAATGGAAGACAACCGATGCTGTTGGACCAACGCTGGGTTAGTCCCATGCCTATGCTAGTGCCCATCATTCATCCTTCCGCTGACCTCCCACCTGCCACGTGGCATGGCTCCCCCACTTATCAATACCTCAAATGGACACCACGTCACCATAGATGGCCCCTTTGATCCTCCAAAGAAGACTTTGACAAGTTCAAGAAGCTCTAAGTTAAAAACAGATGTTTCCAAAGAAGAAGCTCTCCCTAGTCTCCTAGATCGTTAGGAGAACCCTTAGTTTATCAGCAAACAGAGTCACATTTATCCTTTTGTTTTCACCTCAAGAGGGTAGGAGAGGCCCTTGGCATTCTTCACCTCAATATACTCTCGGTGAAAACAACACAGGTTGCCTTCTCAGCCTCCCTCATTCAGCACCAAAAACTCAAGAGTCCTCGCACTTGTACAGACATGCTCGAAGGGCCATAAACTGTACAACTTTACACTGCACATAGATGTAACTTTTTTTTATTACACATTGAGCTGTACAAGAGATTTCACAGAAGAGAGATGCTGCAGTCACACAGATACTTCCACCATTTGGCTGAGAACCTCTCAGCTGGATCAGTACAAAAGAAAGGGGGACAACAGTCAGAAAAGAAATGGTACAAACACCTGGACAGCAATCCTACACTGTGACACAATTGTCCCCCGACCCACAGTTATGGGGTTGTCCCTAAGCATGCTAACTGACGGGCAGAGGACAGTCAGGCTGGCCCATCCACTGGGATTCGGCAGCAGGGGCCGAAATTGCGTCTCCCACCTGTTCTTAAGAGGCTTTCTGCTTACGCCACCATCTGCAGCCTGGCCACTTTACACTTTGCATACATGGCTCACAAATGTCACGTGGAAAGCACCTGTAAATGTTCACACCGACATGCAGACAAGCACCACCCACCGACCATCGCCAGCACCGCCGTTTAGACAGAAAAGTAAGGAAATCAAAAGATGGACTCCTCCCTCCGGGGCATTTTTTTCTTCATTCCCTTCTATGGTATCTGGAGGTATTTGTGCATCTGATTCTATACTACCCCCCAAAGTGTGTATGTGTGTGTGTACATATACATACATACATACATAAATATATACACACACACAGAGACAAAAAGATAACTATGGTCACCATCTGAGGGAGAAAGACCACTGACCATACCACAGTAACACCCAACCCATTTCTCACGGCATACAAATATACCAATGAGAAACTAGGGCATGGGCCCCTTACTGGAGAAATTCCTATTGACTACTTTTAGAAATGTACCACCAGTAATCCCAACTCATCCATCAGACTTGGGAATCCAAAAGAGGGTGCCCTAAAGTGTAGGTCACTGGCTTTTTGTGGTCCTGGGAGGGGAACGGTAACGTGGACACCAAGGCCACGGAGTTGGCGTGAAGGCCTCAGGGAACAAAGTTTGCTCTGTCAAAGGAGGTTTGCTAGGGGGTCTGATGCTACTGTGCTTTGTCCCCAATGCTGTCAGAGGATGGAGTTGTTGGGGACACTGTAGACGAGGCTTAGATTATTGTAATATTGGTCTCATCCCATACCTGGAGATTCCTCCCCTTGGTGAAGTAGACTCATCGGTGAAAGCAATGCCAGCAGCTATGGCTGTAGAAAAGACTACTGAAATTGCTTCTCCCCTTTAACTTTCACCTAGAGGTACTGGCCTTGTACCAGTTCATTTTTGAGCAGGAGGAGCTGGGGATAACTAGGTCCCTTCTCCCGAAGGAGAAGGTCTCCTCCAAGATAGAACTCTTGGTCCTCTGGACTTCTGAGGGTGTGATTAGGGATCTGAAATGGAAAATGGGGGGCCAAGCCAAGGGCCCTTTCTCAGGCAGTGTTGCCACTCCAAAGAAGTGGGCTTGCTTTAGATTTGGTCTCATTTGGCAATGCCCCGAGAGGCAGAGTGAGTGAACACATGTATGCTGGGTGACTTCCCAGGTTTTCAACAATTCTCTTGTTCAGTATCTCTAAAGAGCTCATCTCCAGAGACAGGGAGAGCTGGGGGATGGGATAGGGGTGGGGGAATATAGATTGGTCCCAGTTCCACAGAAGCCCACAGACCATCAACTCAGAAACAATAACAACAAAGAGGAATAACTTAGCGGAACCAAGATCTGCACACAGGAAACACTCACAATTTTGCTTGGATATTGCACGTCAGTTTTTTTGAGTTTGGAGCTATAATTAGGTTAATGATAGAAAGAAGAGGAAAAGAAAACAAAAGAAGAGGGGAAAGGCTGGGGCAGAGAGAGGAAATATAGAACCAGTTTGTGGAAAGAGCTTTTTGCTTTATATCTCATTTCATCACTGAAAAAAAAGAAAGGAAAAAAAGGAAGGAAGAGAAAGAAGGAAAGAAAAAGAAAGGAAAGAAAAAGAAAGAAAGGAAGGAAGGAAGGAAGAAAGAAAGAAAGAAGGAAAAAAATAAGGAAATGAAAGAAACAAACAAACTCAGGGGCACAGATACCCAGGAACTCAAATCATGACAAATACTTGCAAATGAAAAAAAAGAGGAATGCCTTTGAAGTCAGTGGACAGAGATAGCGCGATTTGACCTGAAAGTCTCTGAAACCTCTATCTACACTAGTCATGCAGAAAGAAAGAGAAAAGCAGGGCTCACTAAATAGCTCACACACTCACAGAGGTAAGCAAAGGGGTTTCGATCCAAACCTGGGGCAGAGTGAGCAGGGGTGGGGTCGGGGTGAGATGGGCTGGACGTTGGATTTGTGTCTCTGATTCCCACTCCCTCTAGTCACCCACCACTTCTGTGGCCCCTGATTATCCAGAATACTTCTTAAAGATATTGTCTATCCATCCAGAGGATACAATCGCACTGGAATTGGGAGAGGCACAATGTTTTTTTTTTTGTTTGTTTGTTTTTGTGGTTTTTTTTTTTTTGTACACTGTTGACAAACAGCCCTGAATCACAAATTATACAGAGAAACGCAAGTAAGCATTACGAGCACGGACAGGACAAGTAAACAACCAGACCCAAGAGCTGATACTGCATAGGAAAAAACCCCAGTCCAATCAGCAGAAAAAGAGAGCACTGAGATGGGGTATGGGGAGGGGTGGCTTTTTTTTTTCCTTTTCACTTTCCTTCTCTTTCATTTTTTTCCTTCCTTTTTTCACTTTTTTGGCTTGAAATTTCTGCTTTGAAAGAAGAATATACTAGCAAACACTTAGGAAGCCTGGACTTGTTTGGACCCTACTGCAATACCATTACAGTCGAGAATATACTGTAAACAACCTTGAGGGGTGGGGCGCTGTGGGGGTGTCTTGCTCAAATCCGGATCCTTCAGACTCCCACTCTGGAAGACAAAAATTTGAGACAAATTAGAAATCACCACCATGAACACCACCAGCAGCATCACCCCTGAAAATCCCAAAGCTCCCTCTCCAGTCCTCCCTTCTCCATCATGTTCAAAATGCCTCTGGGGCTTTGATGGCGGGTGAGTTGAGGAGCTTTGTGGTCTTTATTACAATTCCTTCTCCCAATTTTTTAACCTTTAGACTTTCACACACCCTAGGTCCGCTTAGCCCTATCTAATTTCTTTTCTTCTCTTGAGGGTGTTTCCTCAATTTTGCCTGTGTCAGGGGACCAGAAGGGCTCTAGGGTCTCTTCTGGCTCTAACTGAGCAATCCTAGGAACCCATGAACCTTCTAATACTTCATGAAGGGAAAGGAAGGCTACCTGTGCCAGACCCCAAAGATTAGCTGAGCTCCCAGGAAGGGGTTACACCAGGGAGACCCATCATTTCAGAGCTCGGTTTGGCTGCCCCTGGCTCTGGACTCATCTGGAGAATGGGGAAACAGATTAGGGATTAAGTCCAATTGGTGGGTTGATTTAAGACTCCCTGGGAAAGGGACCTGAAGCCTAAGTAAATTATAGGGAATAGTTATTTGCTCCTAGGTTCCTCAGGCTCTTATATTTATACAAAAAAAATGCTCAAGGCCATGTTGTTTTATAGGACTACTACTCTCTGCAACATGGTGACTTCAAATCTGGCTAGGATTCTGACTGATTTTTGACAGGTGTAAAGGTCCTCTGTTACTTTAGTCTTGGTGAGTCCAGTCCTGGGACAGGAAGGAAGGAAGGAAGGAAGGAAAAGAGAAAGGGAATGAAGGACTTAGGAAGAGGGACAACCCTCTGGATGTATAACAGATAAATGTTCCAACAGTGAAAGACACAGAGTATGGTTTTGTACACTGTACCTGAAAGTAAAATGTGGCTTCTTCCTCCCCTCCCTCGTCCTGAAGATACTCAGGGCCTGGTTACCACCCCACCCACCCCTTCTTGTCTAGCTCTGGCCTACCTAATCCATTCTTCCCTGCCGGTGTCTTGAACTTTTGAACTTTGTCTCTCTCTCTTTCTCTCTCCCTCCCTTCCTCTCTCTCTGTCTTTCTCTCTCTCTCACCCCTCTCCCTCTCCCTTTCCCAGCCATTAAGACCAAGACAATCCCCCTCCCCCAATCCAGGGCATCGCTCATCCCAATCAATTCTCCTTCATAAGTCTTCCGCATTCACTTTCCCCTCTCCACCACTTGAGGCTAACTAATCCTTTATCACCTCACAGGTGGATAAATTTGCCATCTGTTGTTGACCTCTCTGGGTCCAGCCTTTCCCCAGCTAAACCATCCCAACAGATAAATCTTCCTTAGACCACCTTTTTCATTATGTTGCTGCCCAAATGCTTTTCATATGAAATCCAAATTCCTCGGCCTAGCTTTCAAGGCTTTATAAAACCTAACCACGGCCCCATATCTTACTGCTTTCCAGCACACACCCTCATTACGGATGAAATCTTCACTATTCTTGAGGAAGCATGGAACTCTGATTTTTGACTGTGCCTTTCTACTCATTCTGGTCCTTCTTGTTTGGTTTCCTCTCTGAAATGAGGGAGTTGGACCAGGTAATTGCTGAAGTCTTCTCTGGCACTAACATTCTCTGTTCTCTGTTCTAAGGTGCCCTTTATCTTAGGCATTCTCAAGTTCTGTAAGTACTGTGCCCTCTCTTCTCCTTTCTACTGAGCCAAATTTTCTCCTTCCCCAAGACTTCATTCAAGTTCAGTGCCCAGGAAGCCTTCCTTTCTACTTAGTTCAAAATGACTTTTCTTTATAGCATCTCCTCTAAATTCATTACAGTTTATTACACACACACACACACACACACACACCCCAAAAAGGATTTGGCCTCAACATAAGTAAGAATTTCCTAACCAGTGCTATTCATGAATGGAATGGCCTGCTTTGGGAGATGGTCCAATGACCAGCCATCAGGACTGAGGGGATTCCCGGACTAGATCACCTGGGAAATTCCTCTCACCTTTTAGATTCTATGATTTTATATTTAAAAAAAAAATTTTTTTTTTTAGGCAATTGGGTTTAAGTGACTTGCCCAGGGTCACACAGCTAGCAAGTGTCAAATGCTTGGTCTGAGGCCAGATTTGAACTCAGGTCCTCCTGACTTCAGGGCCGGTGCTCTATCCACTGCGCCACCTAGCTGCCCCCTACAATTTTACATTTGCATGAGGTCTCACATTGTTTTCTAGTTATCTCCTCCACTAGGTTTTATTTTCCTATGTTGGATTATAAACCTCCTGAGAGCACACACAGATCACAGTCATTTTTCTAATCTGAAGGAGGAACAGTATACTTGTGATCCAGCCAGAAGTAGTTGGGGAAGTTTCCGGAGCCACTCTCCTCTTCTTCCAGGGAAGGGAGAACCCTTGTCTGGTTAGAATTTAGCCCCTTGGGAGTAGGGATTATCTAATGCTTTGTATGTTTATCTCCAGTTCCCAGAACACAGTAGGTAGCTGAATAAATATTTGTTTGTTGATTATTTTCGCGGCTATGGATAAGGTTTACATCAAATGATTTCTCAGAGGCTAATGGCCCAGCCAAAGGGACAAAACAAGTTTCCTTGGGTTTTCAATGGCATGAAAGTTCTTTGTGGTCCAATGGGAAGAGTTCAAATTCTGACTGCCATCTGCTGCCTACATGACCATAAGTAAATCACTTAACATCTCTGAGCCTCAGTTTCCTTATTGGCAAAATGAGAGGGTATGATTAGATAACTGCTAAGGTCCTTCCTGGGTCTAGATATAAGAGGACATAGACTAGTTTTTTATTTTTGTATCCCCATTTATTTGCTTAATAAACATTTATGGATTGATTGATGACAGTCCTCAAGATTGTAAGGGGTTAAGCCGAGGGATGGCTGTGGGATAAGCTAAAATGCTATTCCTGGGGCTGGCATAAAGCCCTGAGCTCTTCTCCAAGGCGAGGAGCAAAAAGCCCTTTCTTTCTTTACTTTTACTTTCCTAAAAGCATTGGTTGAATTGCCTTGAGAGGTTGTGTTGGGAGCAGATTTAAGAGAAGGAAAAGCCCTTCTTCTCCTCCCTCTCTCTATTTCAGCTGATGCAGGAGGTGGTGCCCTAAAGGGGGAACCTACAGGCCAGGGCACAAAGGGACAGTTGGAGTTTTTGGTTGCTATTATTTGGGGGTCAGTGAGGGGTGGGGTTAGAAAAAGAGAGAGCACAGCGATATTCAAGGTGAGTTCATGCCTTCTCTTAATCACAGGTCTAGGGGGTAAGCAGCCAGAACTCAGTTCTAAGGTGAAGGCTAGAGACTTTGTCCTGTCACCCTAAGATCCCACACAGACGCCCTTAGTGCACCACTCTACTGTGCTGGGATGGTGCTGCACCTTCCTGTTTATATCAAGTGTCCATTTATTAGAGTCAGAATTATTAGAACATAAATTCCTTGAGGATGATTTTTCCACTTTTGTATTTGCATTCACCAGATCTTAGCACGATTCTTGGCACACAGTAAATGTTTAATAAATGATTTTTCATTCATTTCACTCCACTCCAAAGCTTTCAAGGTTATTTGGACTGGAATTATTTGGTCTAGATCCCCAGGAAGGCTGAAAGGACTTGGGACAACGGAAGCTGGAATTGCCTCAGGCCCCAGCCTCTGAGTCAAACAAATTTCAGGCATAGGTGAAGGCTAACACGGAGCTGCAGAGAAGTTAAGTGATTTGTCCAAGGTCACACAGCTTAGGCACTGGAAGGGCAGGAGGCAGTTACAAAATGGGATTTAGAGCCCCAGCTGGGTAGGCTTGCCCTTTCAGATATGTTGAAGTCAGGTTAGGGAAAGGATACCCCAGTCTGTGAGAACAGATCCTCTGCTATGCAGCCCCAAGTCATTTGAATTCCAAGGCTTCAGACTTTACATTCCAAGGGCAGTGGTCAACAGGAACGGCTGTGGCCTCTTTCAGGTGGCTTTTGGCATTTCCCAGAAATGGGGAGAATTTGTGGAGAATACATGTTTAGTCTTCCCACGGCCCTGAGAGGGATGCTGGAGTTCAGTAAAGGTCAAGTCCTCGCCTGGGCACACTGACCCCTTCATGGGGTCATGAATCATCACCAGCATTGGCCTTCTGCCAGCCTAGAGAGTGTGGGCTTGTCTCTGCCTCTCACCTGCCTTTCCTTTTTGTCTCCTTTCTCCCCCCTTAGCATAGTCTTCCCTAGATGCCCATCTCTCCTAGATGCCCATCTCCCCAGATGCCCATCTCCCCTAGATGCCCATCTCCCCTGATGCCCATCTCTCCTAGATGCCCATCTCCCCAGATGCCCATCTCCCCAGATGCCCATCTCCCCTAGATGCCCATCTCCCCAGATGCCCATCTCCCCTGATGCCCATCTTTGGTTCTTGTTCTCCTCTGGCTACCAACTGATTTCTTTGTCATCTGATGAACGTTGTCTGATGAGATCTCTAGTTATTTCCTCTCCTTGAGAATAGGCATTTTCATGGAGGCAGGGGGAAGGGGGACCAAAAAAGCCAGAAGGCAAGACTAACTTCTGTTTAACTATGTTATACATATTGGTATTTATTAATTTTATATTCATGTTGTACATACTGTATGTGCTCATCTCCACCATTAGAATGCAACAAAAACAACAACAAGCATCTATTAAGTGCTTACTGTTTGCCAGGCATTGCACTCAGTGGGCAAATGTGCAGGGATTGTTTTATTCATTGCTTTTCAGCACTGGGCACAGTGCCCCACAGTAAAAAGTAAAAGTAAGGGGCACTGTCAATGGTTCTACATCATGAAGAGATAGGACTTAATTAGTAGAAATGACCTTCTAGAAGAGGCATGACCACCTGCTTCGCTGCGGCTCCCCAAAGACCACGGGACTTTTCCATCTTCAGTTGAATCATTTCATGTATGTTGTCTTGGAGGGCAGGGACTGGCTTTTTTTTTTTTTTTAATCTATTTGTATCTCCAGTGATTTGCACATCAT